ACTGTCTCGCGCGGCCACGGGGAGCGGATAGGTTCTGTCCTGGCCACGGGGGGTCTCGGCCCCGAACCCCTCCCCGACCGAACCACCAGAGCCCCTCGGACCTCCTCCTCGATCCTCCCCCCCCCCCCCCCCTTCCTCCTCCTCCTCCTCCTCCTCCTCCCTCTCCTCGATCCTCCTCCTCGATCCCCTCCTCCTCCTCCTCCTCCTCCTCCTCCTCGATCCTCCTCCTCCTTCTCCTCCTCCTCCTCCACCTCCTCCTCCTCCTCCTCCTCCTCCTCCTCCTCCTCCTCCTCCCCCTCCTTTTAGAGTGCGAGCCCGAAGTGGCTCTTACTTCAACGTCCTGACCGTACGGCTCGCGGAGCCCGGGCAGCGGGTGCTCTCTCCGGAGGTGGGCAGCGGGCCGCCGCTGCGCAGGCAGCGCTCGCCCCTGAAGGGAGCACGCGCTCCTCGAGAGCCGGCAGGGGAGGGGGGCCCGTCCAACGGGCGCGGGGGGCGCTCGTCGGCCGTCTCCCTTGACCTCTGCGGGTTCCGTTTCGGGCCCTTTCGATGCGACGAGGGTGGAGGCAGGGAAGGGTCCAAGGCAACGGTGGGAGGGCGGAGTCTTGCTGATTCGACGTGTCCACTCCACACACCCCTTCCCCCTCGGCCCCTCACTATCCTCAGCCTACCGCTCCTCCTCTGCACCGTCTTCCCTCCGTCGTCGTCATCCACTTTGCCTCACGCCGGTTCATTGCGGGACCTGCCATTCCTAGCTGTGCGCAACACTTGCTACCCTGCCCTTCCGTCGCACCCACGCTGCATCTTGCCAAGTGTGGCAACGTTGCCGTTCTCCGCCCGCAGGGATAGCCGAACTTACACGAACCGGTGCCGAGGTGCTGCTCACAGCAGAAGGCACGGAAGAGACACAAAGACCAAAGAGCCAGGCGAAACTGCTCGTGACCCGCGTCTCCTCTTCCTTCTCCTCCTCCTCCTCCTCCTCCTCCTCCTCCTCCTCCTCTTCCTCCTCCTCCTCCTCCTCCTCCCGCTTCCTCCTTCTCCTCCGCCTCCTCCTCCACCTCCTCTTCTTTCTCCTCCTCCCCCCCTCCTCCTCCTCCTCCTCTCCTCCCCTCCCTCCTCCTCCTCCTCCTCCTCCTCCTCCTCCTCCTCCTCCCCCTTCCTCCCCCTCATCCTCCGCTTCCTCCTTCCTCCTCCGCCTCCTCCTCCACCTCCTCTTCTTTCTTCCTCCTCCTCCTCCTCCTCCTCCGCCTCCTCCTTCCTCCTCCTCCTCCTCCTCTCCTCCTCCTCCTCCTCCTCCTCCTCCTCCTCCTCCCCTCCTCCTCCTCCTCCTCCTCCTAATTACTCCTCCCCTCCCCCTCCCCCTTCTCCTCCTCCTCCTCCTCCTCCTCCTCCTCCTCCTCCTCCTCCTCCGCCTCCTCCTCCTCCATTTCCTCCTCTTCCTCCTCCTCCGCCTCGCCCGGCTCCTTCCCCATCCTCGTCGTCTCGTGCACATGAGCAAAGGTATATGAACTGGGCGCCGACCTGGTGCTTCGACTTCGGGAACCACTGGCTCTTGATCAGCTTCACCTCCGACGCCGGCCGAGGGTTCAGAGAAGGACCACAGACGACCAGCAATCCTGCGAGGGCTGCTGCTGCCCAGTCTCGCACAAGCGACGCCACAGGTCCCCGAATACTTCGCGCCCTCGCGACGCGCGAGGCGCGACGCGCGGCACGCATCTTCTCGCCCTCGCGACGCCCCCCCCCTGGAGAAGGGCAACTTTAGAGCTTCGACAGCGAAGCACAAAGATGAAGTATCTCCGCGCCACCGCGGGCCACCTACGTGAATGTGCACAGCCTTGTGCTGGCGAGGCACTTCTGTTTTTCGTTCCATCGTGCAGCAAGGGCGATTGCACCGCCAGGGGAGCTGACGGAAAATGCCAAGCGTCAGCGCCCGGGGACTTTGTTCGAAGCAAAGATACGTGCGCGCTCCTCACTGGTAAGGCCTTCCTTCTGCTTCTCCAGATACCGATGCGCGACCGTGCCCAGTCTCCGTACCTCTCCCTCCTCAGACCTTCCGCCCCATCCTCGCCCAACCCGCCCGGCCCGCCGCGCAAGGGAAGTGGGGGGCCGCCCGAGCCCCACCTCGACATCGGAGTCGGGGTGGGACAGGGCGCCGCCGACCGGGGCGTCGGTGATGTTGACCCACGGGGCCTCCCAGGGGAAGGGGTGGGGGAGGGGAAGGGGAGTGGTGGGGAGAGTGGAAGGGGGGGGGAAGGGGAAGGAGAAGGATGGAAAGAGGGGAAAGGGAAGGAGGGAAGGGGGAAGGGAGGGAAGGGGAGAAGGGGGGATGGGAGGAGAGAGGGGAAAAGAGGGAGGAGGGGAAGGGGAAGGATCTGGAAGATTAGGAGACATCTCCAGGGAGGTCTTAGTAAGAGCGGCTGCAGTCGCGGCCACGAAGCTCGACTCAGGGAACATCAAGTCAGGCTGGGCCAGATGAAGCGTGGCAGTAAGCCCACCTAGGCGGGATTAGGTCAGATTGAATGGGACTCGGCCGGATTGGGCCACTTCTCGACCACAGATATACCAGCGCCGATGCTGAGCTGAATCGGAAGGAAGTGGGGAAAGCAGAAGGTACAGATACCGCTACTCCCAAGACCTCTCCTTGGGCACGTTCTGACCAGTATATTGAAGCAGCTCCAGTTTTGACGTCGTGGGCCTCCCAGGAGGTCCAACAAGGGTAAACCGAAACCGGAGGATGGGTACCGGCATGGGTACCTTCGAGCGCATTTTTCTCGTTCGCGGCCATAGCAGGCGTTATGGGGGGGGAAGGGGGGACGGGGGCACGGGATGGGGCATGACGTAGCGCCCCCCCCAGACTGTGGTGTCGGACGCATTGCGGCAGCGCCAGGGGCGCACTGAAGGGGGGGAGTTTGACGTTAGGGTAGGGGGCATGATGCGCGCTGTGGCCCAGAGGGTAACCAAACACTTGTTCCGTCAGCGGCGAGGCGGCGAACTTCGCTCCAGCAAGAAGCTCGGAATGGGGCAATAACTAGCGAATTCGCCGGCGAGCAAAGGCGGGGGGGGGGGGACGGCCGAGAGGAAGACGGGACGCTCAGGCGTCCAAGAGTTCGACGATGAGCAGCCGGGGGGGGGCAGCAGCAGCCCGGCGCGCAGGGCCAGAGCGGGGTGGGCGGCCGTGGCAAACCACGGTGGCAAGGGTGGCGGGAGAGCGGCTGCCAGCAGCTGGAGCTGGCGGGTGGGGAGGGTAACAGAACACTCACCTTCTGAGAAGGGCCGCCACCTCTCGCTTCGCCCCTGGGACCGCCGCCGGCAGACTCTGCGGCAGCCCCCCCCCCCCCCGAGCGCCCCCTGTCCTCCAGGCCACCGGTGCGCTGCGCATCGCGCCCCGCGGTGCGTCGTCATCTTCACGCCCTCGCGCCGCCCCCCCTGGAGAAGGGCAACCTTCTGGCCCAGACCGCGACGCGCGCGGGGCGAGGACCTTCGCGCCCACGGGGGGGAGGACCCGACAGTCGCATCCTCCGCTGAGGACGGGGGGGGGAGGGGGGGGGGGAAGGAGGGAGAGGAGAAAGAAATCGGGCACGGTCTTCCCGTGCCCTCCCTCGACGGGCCTCTTCCTTGACGGCCCCCACGCCACCGGGGCTGCGGCCGCGCGCAAGGGGGGGGGAGTCAGGGGGAGGAGGGGGAGGCTTCTCAGAAGCACCCCTGCTTCTGAGAGGCGGCCCCCCCACTCCCCCATAGTTACCCCCTGGTGCGTGCCGCCGACTCAGGGCCTTCCGCCCCGCTCCTCGGGCGCGGCCTTCCCGTCCTCTTGCTCGACGGGCCTCTTCCCTGACGGCCTCCACGCCATCGGGGCTTCCTCCTGGCTGCCTGCCCACGCCTCGGGTGCGAGGCGAAGGGGGCCGTCGCGGGAAGGCTCGGTCTGCCACGCCACGGGGTCGGACGGACCGCCCCCCGAGGAACGGGGCGGAGAGCTCTGAGCTGGCGGCACACACCAGGGGTATGGGGTGGGGAGGCTTCTTAGAAGCAGGGTCGGGGGCGCGCAAACATGGACTAGCGATCCATGGCTTTGGCGCGCGGTCGCCAAATCCATGGATCGGGGGAGGTGCCCTCCCCAAAATGCGGCCGGCGGCGCCTCGTCCGGCGGCGGAAATCCGCGATTTCCCATGGAAGCAGGGAGCGTCGCTAATCCACGCCCCCCTTGATGCATGTTTGCGATCGCCTGACGGGGGTGCTTCTAAGTTGGGCGCCCGAAGTGGGTACGGAAAGAATGGGTACAATGCCCAACAACACATGTTGTTCCAGACCAACAGGGGCCGCTATGGGGCGGGCGGCTCTCTGCCTCAAGTGGACACAGGCCGCGGCGGCGCGGACAGCGAGTCCTGTTCAAAAGGAGCAGGAACTGCTGTTGGGCATCGTACCCATTCTTTCCGTACACCTCAGGCGATGTTTAAGAAAACTTAAATTTTCGGCCAGGGTCTCGATTATTCTTAATGGTTCAATGTAAATCCTAAGATTCGAATGGGAATTTTGGGTTTTTATTCAAGTTCTGAGACTATGAATTTCTTAACCCATGATTTCTTAAGCATTTCGCAGGGTGTACCCATTTCGGGCGTCCAGATCTAAGAAGCCTTCCCCCCTCCCCCACGACTCCCCCCCCCCCATCTGCGCGCGGCCGACCTGAGGCACGGGGGTGAGGGCCCCGAGACTGTTTCAAAACCGGCAGGAATGAGCGTGGGCGAAGGCTCCGAGGCTCCAAGACCCGGCATGAGCGTTGGGTCGGGCGTGTCGTCCTACAGGCAGATTTTGAACGCAAAACGAAAATGCAAAAACAAAAAGCTTAAGATAGTAAAAACAAGATCAACAACTCGTCCCCTGTAGAAGGACACGCCCGACTTAAGCGCAACCGAAAGCTCGGAGGCTCCAAGAACCGGCCTGAGACCCCAGGGCGTCCATTTTTCGGTGGGAACGTCACGCTCTCCATCGCAGAACCATCGAAACCCAAGAAACCCAGGGCACCCTGGAGGCAATCAGGGTGCTTCTCGGCATGGGCCCCCACTGTAGGCGAAGGCTCGGAGGCTCCAAGAACCGGCATGACACGAGCGCAAGCTTTGGGAGGTCCGCACCCAGACGTGCGACGTCCTGATTTTTTCAGGACGGCGTCCCTGGAAGTCCCGACCCTTTCCCCGGGACCAGCTCTTCGTCCTCAGTCGTTTTCTGACGGCCCCGAGGCCCGGCGAGGGCCCCCCGGGGCCGAAAATAGCCCAAAACCTCCCGTCCTGATCTTCTCGATCCTCCCCCCATTCCTCCTCCTCCGCCCTCTCCTCGATCCTCCTCCTCGCTCCTACTCCTCCTCCTCCTCCTCCTCCTCCTCCCCTCCTCCTCTCCTCCTCCTCCTCCTCCTCCTCCTCTCCTCCTCCCTCCTCCTCGATCCTCTCCTCCTCCTCCCTCCTCTCCTCCTCCTCCCTCCTCCTCCTCCTCCTCCTCCTCCTAAGAACGGCACGGCACGAGCGCAAACTTTGGGAGGTCCGCACGGCTCCCCCGGGGCGGCGGGTGGCCGCCCCGGCCCGGCGTGCGGGAGCGCGCCGCCGGGGGGGCGAGGCGGGAGGCGCCGGCAGGAAGGTCCACTCGGGGGCGGCCTACAGGGGGACTTTGGGCGAAAAATGACAAATACATAAACAACTCCAAATAAGGATACGAATAAGAATGATGGTAATAATACTAATATTATTAATAATGATACTAATAATAATACGAATCATAATACGAATCATAATAATAATAATAATGATAGTAATAATAATAATAATAATATTACTACTACTAATAATAATAATACGAATGAAGATACTAATGATACTAATAATCATAATGATGATACTAACAATAATGATAATCATAACAGTATTAATCATACTAAGCACAATAATACTACTGATAAAAATAAGTGTAATGCTAATGCTATTATTACGAGTCAGAATAACAATAATAATAGCAATAATAATATTAATATTACTAATACGAACCATAACAATGATAATAGGCGTAAGAAAAGCTCAAACAAATAATTAAAACAACGCTCCCAAGAAAGCTACAACAATGAGGCGCCAGCAGGACGGTCCACTCGGGGGCGGCCAAGGGTTAGGTCGGGCGTGTCCCCCGACAGGGGGATTTTGGGCGAAATATGTAAAAAAGTGCTCAAACTATACTCCAAGAATGGTTAAACATTGTTAGAACAAAAAACTATCCCCAGACTGTTTCTTTACTAGTTCTGAGCATTCCTCCTGCAGAGGAACGGGCCCGACTTACCCCAGGAAGGGGGGCGTCCCGAAGAGGGGCGGGAGAGCAGAGCAGGGCCGGCCGCACGTGCGCGGCCCGAGGGGGGGGGGGCCAGGGGCGTGATGAAATTCGGTGGGAGCATCGGCTAAGGAACCCTCCTCCTCCTCCTCCTCCTCCTCCTCCTCCTCCTCCTCCTCGATCCTCCTCGATCCTCCTCGATCCTCCTCTCCTCCTCCTCGCTCCTCCTCCTCCTCCTCGCTCCTCCTCCTCCTCCTCCTCCTCCTCCTCCTCCTCCTCCTCCTCCTCCTCCTCCTCCTCGATCCTCCTCCCTCTCCTCGATTCGGTGGGAGCATCGGCTAAGGAACCCTCAGATATATCTGAGGAATCCAGGGTCTGGAAGCCAGTGGAACTCCAATCGAGGCTCGGCCATGGATGCCACCGCCGCCCTCCTCAGATAAGGAATCCTCCATGGTCTGAAGCCTCCTGGGCGCATTCCTTAAGCAAGGCCCCCACCGTAAGAAGCGGCGCCAGGAAACCTGGGGAGATATCATGGCCCCCGCCATGATGTCCCACCCCACCTGGTCATCACCCCCCTCGTGGCCGCCCCCGGTCCACTACCGACCCGAAAAATCCGCGCGGAACTCCCAAAGTCGATGTTCGTGCCGCCTCTGGCTCCTCCAGGACTGAGGGAAGGGGGGGAGAGGGGAAGGAGGGAAACGGGAAGGCTACCCTCCCACGGGGAGGACCCAGATCTCACACGACGTGATCTCTTCACAGCGTGACCCCCTTCTGCGGGACCGGCTCTGCATCCCGAGATGTGTCTTGTTCGGCCCCCCCGGTTCTGCGGCCCTGGGGCTCGGTAAGGGACCCCGAAAGGAGGCCGAAGGTGTCTTGGCGCCCCACGACCGGAGCGCCAACGAAGCACACGGCAAAGCGACACCACCACCACCACCACCACCTCCTTCTGGTGGTCTCCTCCTGGTCCTAGTGGTGTTGGTGGGTCCCCCTGGCTCTCCTGGTCCTCCTGGCCCTCCTCCTGGCCCTCCTGGCCCTCCTGGACGCGAGCCGGGGGGGGGGAGTCCTCCCGGTGCTGTGGTGCCCCTTCCCCACTGAGGAGACATCCCGCCATCCCCCGGCTCGGGGAGCCGCCGTGGACCTGCTCCTCGCGGGAGGTGGCACCCCTGGCGGGCGGTGGTGCCGCTGCTCCCTCCGCAGGTCGAGGAAGGTCAGGCAAGCTTCTGGCACGGGGGCTCACCTGTGGAATTAGGTCGGGCATGTCCCCGAAGTGACCAAAAATCATTAAAACAGATCGTCCCCAGACTACCTGTGGACTCTTTGAATACTCGTCCTACAGAGGGACATGCCCAACTTGACTGTGGAAGCAAGCCCCCCCCCCCCTCCGTGCCGTCTGCTGCTCGGGGCCCCCACGCCCCACACCCAGCCCCCCCGAGGCGCCGGGGAGGCCCTCGGGAGCCCCGAGGAGGCCCCTCGAGAGCCTCCTCGAGAGGCCCCCCACCCAGGAGAGGCTCCTCGAGACCTCCTCGAGGGGCCTCCTCGAGGGGGCCTCCTCGAGAGGGCCTCCTCGAGAGCCCCCTCGAGAGCCTCCCCAAGTGAGGCCCTCGGGAGCCCCGAGGAGGCCCCCCGAGAGCCTCCTCGAGAGGCCCCCCACCCAGGAGAGGCCCCCGGAGTCGTCCGGTGACCGTCAGGAGTCGGGGTCTCCGCCCGGGGGCCCCTCGCGAGGCCCGCGCAGGGCACGCCAGGGGCTCCGACGAGCTCCGGCGGCCCACGGGAGGAGAGGAAGCGAGGGGCGAGTCCAAGGGCGCGTGAGACGACGCAGCCTCTGAAAAACGAGATGGTCCAGACAGCAGGGTTCGACAAAGGACAGTGCTCCCCGCTTCGATGGGGGTCAGGAAGAGCGACGGGGATGGCGGGGAGGGGAGAAGAGGAAGGATCGAGAGGATGAGGGGAGTGAGCAATGGGAGAGAAGGGACGGCGGAGAAGACGTGAGAAGGTAAGATGGGAGAATGCTCCGAGAAGGGGGAGGATGAGGAGAAGGAGTGATGAGGGCGAGAAGTAAGATGAGAAAGAGGCTGGCTGGCTATGTGCCCATGGGGCGGAGGGATGAGGAAGAGGCTGGCTGGCTGGCTGGGTGCAGATGGGGCAGCGCTCGCATCCTCGGGCACGGGAGCTCGTAGTGAGGGAGGAGGAGGGAGGAGAAGGGAGGAGGGACGAGGGGGAGGGGAATCGGGGGGGGGGGACCCGGGAGGGCGAGGAGGGGGGTGGGCAAGGCACGCTGTTGCCACGGGGAAAGGGCAACACTGCGTCACACCACGACGCCTGGGATGCGGGCGGCGACGCCGACGGAGCCACGGCCAGGAGGAGGGGACCGGCGTGCCTCGCCCGCGCGGCATGCGCGAGGCACGCCGTGGCCTCGGCGCCGGGCGGCTGCAAGGCTCTCCTCCTGCCCTGCAGCAGGCACATGCGACAAGAGATCCTGCTGCAAGCAATCCAGGGGCACGCCTGTCGTCCATGCTCAGGCCCCCGACGTGCGATACCTCAGCACTCCTGCGGGACCCTGGCGCCTGTGGGAGGATCGGGAACACCCGTAGGGGCACCATGCTGGCAGGCCGGCGTCTTGTTTGACGTGCCTCGTGCATCCTCTCCTCGGGCTCTATCTCTCTCTCTCTCTCTCTCTCCTTAGAGCGTTCCAGAACGCTCTAGGGTGGTTGCTCGTCGTTCGAGGTTGCTCGTCGTTGTTCTCGTCCGGCGCTGTCCTGTCCCCAGATACCTGACGTCCGTATTTTTGTTCACCCTTCCCCAGGACTGACTCTTGAATCCCGCGCCACTCCTTGCAAGGAGGAGGGCGCCTAGAGGCAACAGCAACTGCAAGAAACCTCCCGTCGTGATTCTTCCGCGACGAGAGGTCTGGGCCGTCCCCGTCGTCCTTCTCTTCCAGTGAGCTTCGGAAGTGCGCTGGCCACCTGGAGGATCTCAGGGTCGGCCCAGCACCCTCGAGGTCCTCCTCTTTCTCCTGCTCCTCCTCCTCCCCCTCCTCCTGCCCCTCCTCCTCCACATCCTCCTCCTCCTCCTCCTCCTCCTCCTCCTCCTCCTCCTCCTCCTCCTCCTCCTCCTCCAGCCCCAGACTCGGCTCTCCGGCGGCCGCTCGGGACGCTCCGGGCACCCCCGGAGACGCCCTCGACGAGGTCAAAAGCCGCTGGAACGCACCCCGAGGCTGAAAACACGGGGCAGAGCCGCCCGCTGCGGGAGGATGGCGACGCCAGGATCTCAGGGGAGACCTCCGGGAGCCCGCGCCGCGGGCGAGTCGCGGCGCGCGCCTCCGTCAGAAGGCGGCAGCGCGCGCGCGCGCGCCGCGGCCTCCACGTCGCCCTCGTCGAGCGTGCGCATGCCTCCCCCCGCCGCCACTCTTCTGCGCCCGTGGGTCGTGGAGGGCGGAGGGCGAGGAGCGGGCGGAGGACGAGGAGGACGGAGAGGACAAGGAGGAGGAGGAGGAGGAGGAGGAGGAGGAGGAGGAGGAGGAGGAGGATGGAGGAGGAGGAGGAGGAGGAGGAGGAGGAGGAGGAGGAGGAGGAGGAGGCGGAGGAGGACGGGGAGGACGAAGAGGACGAAGCGGACGAGAAGGAGGGCGGGAGGAGGACGAGGAGGACGAGGAGGACGAAGAGGAGGGCGAGGAGGAGGACGAGGAGGAGGAGGAGAAGGAGGAGGACCAGGAGGACGAGAAGAACGGCAAGGGGGAAGGCAGGGAGAAGGAGGAGGAGGAGGAGGAGGAGGAGGAGGAGGAGGACGAGGAGGACTGGGAAGAGGAGGACGTGGAGGACAGCGGGGAGGAGGACAGCGGGGAGGAGGACGAGGAGATCATGATCACCTCCTTCACTCCCTCCACGACCAGGCGAGCGCATATTTCAGACCCTTGCGGGCCTCTCTTTCTCTACCTCCATCTCGTTTGTCACTCTTTTTCGTGCTGCGGCGCACATCTTGGTCGAATTGCTTGGCCACGGCGCCGAATTCGGTCCTCTTTGCACTATGCACTATGCTGCTTATTGGCCATCCTGGCGCTACGATACTCGTCGATCTAAGCTTGCACCCCATTCACGAAAAGGGGCCGAGGAGGTCGAGCAGCAGGGCGACGGGGAACGAAAACGAGGGAACGAACGCAGGGGGACGAGGAAGGGGGGGGGAACGAGGCGAAGGAGGAGGACGACGAGGAACAGATGGAGGAGGGGGAGCCTCGGTGCAAAAGTGCGCGAAGGGGGGGACGACGACGACGTCGACGAGGAGGACGAGAACGAGGACGACGACGAGGACGAGGTCATGCCGCACGGCTCTCAGGCCCGCAAGAGCGGGCTGGCGCCGCGGCGCCTCGTCGATGGAGGGGGAGCCCCGTCGGCAAACGAAGCGGCGTCGAGTAATGCGAACAGAAGAATTCTCAACGCTTCGTGTATCCCCACCAGTATCGCGGCCTGGGACGTACCGCGCGCCATTTTGGCTGCGCCTGGCTCGCCCGAGGGCTGTCCCTCAGACTCCCTGGGTTGCTGCTTGCACGACCGTCTCGGGTGACTGACCTTTCAGACTCCCTGGGCTTGCACGACCGCCTGGCCTCTCAGACGCCCTGGGTTGCCGCCCCCCTCGCCGCCTGATCCGCGGCCCCCGCGCGCGCTCGGGAATTTCGTCGCGGCCGCAGCCCGACCGTGACCGCCCGCCGCCGGCGCTTCCGCCTGCGGCTGTAAAAAAAAGAGTGTATCCCCACCAGTGTGACCCGCCTACCGCCTGCCCTTTCCACTCGGCGGCTCGCCGCTGAGGTGCTGCGTGAGGCTCCGGTCCACCGCTTTAGGTTAATTCGTCTGTGCGCGCCCCGCTCTGACTGGACTCGCCGCTGGCGCGCTCGCCTGCGGCCGCTGACTAAAAAGTATCGCCACCAGTGCCTACTTCACGGATGTCGTCTGGGTGTGCCTGTCGGTCTAGTTCGTCTCTGACGGTGCTGTTTGCCTGACTCACACCGAGCGATCGACCTCTGCGTGTTGATGGTCGCGCCGCCGCGCCATTTTGGCTGCGCTGACTTGCTGGTCGCCACCGGGATTTCCAACGCCACCAGGTTTGGGAGTATCGGTTCTGGCTCTCCTTCTGAGTGGCTGCCCGCTCGCTCGCTTCGCTTGCCTTTCTTTTCCTGCTGCCTAGTCGCGGCCCGACTAGTGTTCGGACGGCTTTCGACCCGCCTCGCGAGCCTGCTGACCAGAAAGTATCCCCACCAATTGTTATTTAGGTCGTTCCTAGTCGGCAATTTCCTGACGGCGCGCGGCTCCTCCGCTTGCGCTCGCGAACATAAAGTATCCCCACCAGTTCCGGACGGCGTTCGGCACCTCCGATGCGCTCGCGATCAAAAAAGTATCCCCACCAGCCCCGAGCAGGATCCGACACCCCCGTCGTCCTGCCAGTCCTGGCGACCCGGACTCCCGTCCGTCGAGCGCCTGCATGCCAGCTGGCTTATTCACTGGTGTCGTCGCGCGGCTGACTGCCTTCAGTCTGCATTCGGCGGGCCTGGCCCGCGGCGCGCACTGCTGGCCAGTCGCCGCTCACTCGTTCCGCCGCTACCTCCACGGGCTTCGACGCACCTGAAGGCTTGGCCCCCTTGCTGGGATGCCCTGCCCCCGCCCCGCTCAGCCCCCCCGCGCGCTGCCCTCTGGACAGGCGCGGGTGCTTGCGCGGCCCGCTTTCCCTGGCAGGGTTGCCCCTCGCCGCGGTCACGGGACACCACACTGCCAGCCAAATATTGCCATTTTGGCATGCTCCCCCGGCGGCTGCTGCTGCCGATGGCGGCCTCCCTGTGAGCGCCGCGCGGCCCGCCCCGGCTTGTCTCACCTCCCGCTGTTCTCCCGTTGTCTCTCTTCTCCTCCCTGTTGTGCGAATGTGGACTTCCGCTGGGTAGCGGTTGCTCTGGACGGCGCGCGGCCTCTCCGCCTGCGCTCGCGATCAAAAGTATCCCCACCCATCCAAGAACGCTGCCCCCGGGAGCTGCCCTGCTCAGGGAAGCGTGGCATCGTGTAGAAAGCTCGGGGAGCTTCCGTGGGCCATGAGTCCGGGGGGCCTCCTTGGGGCCCTCCTTGGGGGCCTCCTTGGGGCCCTCCTTGGGGGCCTCCTTGGGGCCCTCCCTGGGGGCCTCTTGGGGGGGGGGCCTGTGGCCTCCCGGGGCCCTCTTGGAGCTCCCTCGGGAGGGTCTGGCGGCCTTGGGGCCATCCTGGAGGCCATCGATCAAAGGAGGGGGTGGGGGGCTCCAATAGCAATGCCTTCCGACGAGGCCCAACTACAGTGGAGGCCAGCCCACGAGAAACCTCGGGTGTGCCGCATACTCCAGCCGCGCCAAGTGAACCACGTTCGGGGCACGTGCAGAGTGTGTCAGGTGCGCCTGCGCACATTGCAGCACGCATCGGGAAACATGTCAGCCCCCACCATCCTTGTGGAAAACCAATGCCCATCATGTTGCCTGGTTGGCCTGCGCACAGCAGACCATACGCCACCACCCCCGCCGTCCCTGTCAAACACCATTTGGCAATGATCGCGGGGTGGCCGCGCGTGAGCCAGATTTGGCCGCGAGGTGCATTTGGCATTGTGTTTTGTCAGGAATGGTAGCCCTGCGCGCAGCAGGCAATATGCTGACACCCCCGCCGTCCCTGACAACAAAAACAATACAAAGTGCTCGCGGGCCGCACGCACATGACTCCAGACTTTCCCACTTTCCCAGGACATGTGTTTTTTTGTCACAGGGATGGTGTGGGGGCCCGCATCGGGTTGGTTGCACATGCTCCGAATTTGGAGGCAGATTGTGTTTTGTATGTGTTTGACAGGGATGGTGGGGGGGGGTGAGCATGGCTCCTGGTTGGCTGCCTGCCGCCTTGGGGAAGGGGTGTCTACGAATAGGGAACAATGATCGAAGTCTCTCCCCTTTCGCCCGCAAGCCGTCCCGCTCACTCCCACCCGCTCTCCCAACCTATAAGAAACACCCGAGGGAGTCTCAGCGCACTGCTTGGGAACACCACGCATGCCATGTGCGCCACGGGTTCCAGGTGCACCATGCACCCTGAAGGCCAAAGCGAGCCAGGCGCGCCAAGTGTGGCACGTGCTCCACGTTTACGCGATATGCCGGCACCCCCGCCGCCCCTGCCAAAAACCCATGCAAAGTGGTCGCGGGGCGCCCGCGCACGCTCCAGAGGTGGAGGCAAAGTGTATTCTGCATTGCTTGCTGACAGGGATGGTTGGCCTGCGCGCGTCGCGCCATATGACGACCACTCCGCCGTCCTTGTCAACCACGAATGCGAAATGGCCGCGGGGCGCCCGCGCAGGCTGCAGACGTGGAGGCAAAGTGCGCTGTGCATGTACTGCTTGTTGACAGGGATGGTTGGCCTGCGCGCAGCGAGCAGTTTGACGGCATCCCCCCGCCGTCCTCCTCAGAAACGACTGCGGAGTGGTCGAGGGGCGCCCGCGCTTGCCCCGGACTTGGAGGCACATTGCATTCTGTAATGTTTCTTGACAGGGATGGGGTGGGGAGGCACGTGTCGGGCTTGCCCACAGTCGGTTGGGGGAGGGGTTGTATATCAACCAAGAATGACGAGCGAACAACTCACACCCATACCCATAGGAGGGTCGAAAGGAGGGGAACTGGCTATGGGTCTGGGTGCGAACTGTCGGACCCTGGGGGAAGCTCCCGTTCGAGCGGGGAGCCCCATCCGACAACACGCACCCATAGGCTCCTCCGTCCCCCCTATGGGTATGGGTGCGTGTTGTTCGATCGTCAAAGAAAGATGACCAAACTACACCAAGCCGCAAACCGCGTCGCTCACTCCAACCCGCCCTCCCAACACATATGCGACATCCGGGCGTGTGCCCCGATACCGCTGAGTGCACGATTCCCGTGGGAACCGCAGTGCCGAGCAGTCATTGAGAAGGGTGGAGCCCGAAGCACCAGCGCCTGATCACACATCGGTCTTCTTTGACGCCGCTGTCAACATTGTGACGCAAAGTGGACTTTGCGTGGTTATGGGTCAGGGTTTGTGAGCCTGCACAGAGCAGTGATTATGAGGGCACCCCCATCATCTCCTCTGTCAAGCATCAGCAGATGAAACATGATCGCGGGGCGCCCGCGCATGAACCAGATTTTGCCAGGCAGTGTGCTTTGTAGTTGGTGTCGACAGAGGTGATGGACCAGCGCAGAGCGGACATGTTTGAGTATCAGCGGCGTGGACTGGGCCCCACTCGCCGATCTACCCCCCACCAGATGGGGACACAGGCCATCTCCTCCGGGTTTCGAGGGGCGTATCCCCGACTGGGGTGGCCATTTGGTGGGGGCCTCGAAGGGCATGGGGATGGGGATGGGTTCAACGCTGCCGAATGCGGAGGG